TGTCCTTTAATTGGAAAAAACTCCCCCTGCGCCCCTCGGGCGCGGAAAAAGGAGGTGTGACAAGTGTCATAATAATAAAAATTATAACGCATTCCTTTGAATATCTTTTTACAATATTTTGGTCTTTTAAATTTGAATTTAAAAATTTTAAGTCACAATTATATAATATAATTTTCAAGAAATTGCCTTAGATAAATTTATTTTTAAAAAAATAGGCCAGACCCAATTAGGCCCATATATATATATATATATATATATATATATGTGTGTGTGTGTGTGTGTGTGTGTGTGTGTGTGTGTGTGTGTGTGTGGTTTAGGGTTTACAAGAAATTTCCTTAGATAAAAAACCTAAAAAAAAAAGGTCAGGCCCACATAGGCTCGAGACCGGCCCACTTAGCCCGGACCATTAGTTCGTGGTCCCGGTCCTGGTCCGGTTACCTCCAAAAGCCTACAAAACCCGGGACCGTTTAAGCCCTGCCCACAAAGTTCGGGCCCACATAAAATCGGCCCACGAGGCCCGTTTAGGCCTAGCCCGTTTGCCAGCCTTAGCTGCCGCACAGGCTGGTTTAGGTGGACAGAAACCACGTCCATGACAATTGGTATCAGAGCAGAGTAGTTTCGTGACAGAGACACAACGACCAATGGTAGATTTCGTGGTCTTGTTCGAGAACATAGCCGGTGGTAACAACGAACTGCAGGAAAGGCTAACGAGACTGGAGGCATTGATTGGTAATGTTCCTAAAGGTGACGAATTTCAAACTCCAGTAACAAGTCTTGCCTACCTTGAGGTAGAATTGGCAAGGCTGAGTCAAGAGAGTGCGGATCTGAAAAGCGAGACAGTGGTGTTACGACGTGCTGTGGGCGAGGATGCTCCTCAACGTGGTGTTGATCGTCTCATGGTAAAAATTCCTGAACCTAAGGCATTTGGTGGTGCAAGGAGTGCACGTGAATTGGAGAATTTTCTTTGGGGTATGGAGCAGTACTTTCATGCTATTTGTGTGCAAGATGAGAAAGAGAAAGTAACCCTGACTAGCATGTATTTGAGTGAAGATGCTAAGTTATGGTAGCGTACTCGTGTAGCTGAAGATGAAATTCTGGGCAAGCTAAAGATTGAGTCGTGGGAGCGGCTTAAAAGGAGTTGAAGGATCAATTCCTTCCTAGCAATACGTCTTGGATTGCTAGGGACAAACGGAAAAAGTTGTGGCAAACCGGATCAGTTAGAGCATATGTCAAAGAATTCACTTCTTTGATGTTGAACATAAGCAATATGTCGGAAGAAGATAAATTGCACGACTTCATGAACGGGCTGCAACAGTGGGCACAATTGGAGTTGCGTAGGCAGAATATTCAAAACCTCGCAAGTGTTGTGACTGCGGCTGATGCATTGGATGATTTTACTTGGGTGAAGAGATTTGTGCTTTAAAGTCCAATAACAGAAAGAAGGACAAGGCAAAGGAGTGGAAGAAATGTAAAAATAACAATGCTAATGAAGACAAGGGGAGGAAAGAGCAAGGAGAAAGGCAACAAATTCAGTGGTTGTTTCATTTATGATGGGCCACATCGAGCAAGGGACTGCACAAAGAAGGCAGTGTTAAATGGAATGAATGACGCGAATAAGAAGGCTGCATTGGAGGCAATAACCGGTGACAAACAAATGGCTGGTGTCAATGCAATTGTGGCTGAAGAGAGATGGGACCAAGTGGCGTTGCTTGTCAACCCCTTAGGACTTATAAATTGATCCAAATCGACACGGATGGTTTCTTAGGGCTCAGCCTCTTTGAGCTTGACTTGATAACAAGAGCGTTATCATGGGCAGCAAGAGTGTTGCCAAGTTAAGGTGTACGAGTAGCACCAAGAGAAAAAGGGAAACGGGCAAATGATGTCCAAGGCTTTGAGGGAGGCAATGCAGCTTGGCAAGGGCTTGACAACGAGATGCGGGCTGAGGGTGACACTTTAACATGACAAAGGAATCAAGGCATGAGGTAGTGATGCCAAGGCAAGGCAAAAACAAAGTGAGCAAAGGCAGGCCAAGTGCAACGGAAAGCATTCGCGCAAGGCAGACTTGTCATGAGATTGAGGCGCGACAAAGGGCTATGTGCGTGGGCAATGGCATGGGCAAAATGCGGCTACAATACACCTGAGTACAAGGCATTGACGCCTGATTCAAACCAAGGCACACACATGGGCAATAAGCTTCAGATTGACCAAGTCAAAGGCAGTTACACGGCATATGCTGTGCACATGGGCAACAGTTGGCTTTTGCTAAAAGCTGGCAGAATTGTTAGCACGTTTTTAGGGTCGTGATTCCATTATTATTAGCATGAACTATATGATCCTAGTAGTTGGGGGATGTCAACTACACTAGACTAACATAGTGGGATGTGTGGGACAAGTGTCTAAGCCTAAATGCAACAAGTGTAAGGCAAATGGGTTGTCTCATATTTTATAAATAGGCAGCATACTTATGCTTGTGGGGAAGGAGAGAAAAACGTGTATGAGTGCATGTTAAAGTCTGTTTTCAAGAGTGAAAATATCTAAGTCTAAGAATAGTCTTGTGAGAAAATCTGAGGGTCAAGAGTGATCTTCTTGTACACGGCATTGTACTTCGAGTTTGAGTTTCTTTGTATGCGTTAAGTACAAAGTTGGGAAAAGAATTTCCTATAATTGTGCCTTGTATTCTTGTTAATGTTCTGTTGCCTTTACTAAATTTCGTTGCCAAAATCAGTTCCTAAATTTTCTACGTTAAAGCTGCCTAAAAATATTTAAGTCCAAAGTTGGTGTAATTTTGGCCGATTGTTGTGAAAATGTTGAAGTCAAGTGCGGGACTTGGCTGCACAAGCTGATTTTGACGGACAGAAACCACGCCTGTGACAATTACCATCTCAGGCTTCTCAGCCAAACATACACACACAAAAAGGATTAGATAGATTCAACCAATTTAAATCCAGCACAAGCGCAGGCCTAAAAAATGGAATATAAACCGTGGATTTACGCCCAAAATCAGATCTAACATAGTTAACATTTAACAAGTCCCTAATGTTTAACGCATGTTTTTCTAATTACTCAGAACGACCCAACCATCATGTATATATGCTACTCTTTAGTGACCAACTCCATAAGTCAGATATAGTCGGAATCAAAAATATTTATGGGGTTTTAGTGACCTCAAGTTAATATATAATAACAACTAAGTTCACGCTCAAAAACTTATAAATATTTATTAAATTTCTTAATTACATGGTATGGATAAAACTAAAGAATTTACGTGAACCCTTAAACTTACTTACGTGATAGATCCACCCCTTCATAAGGCATATCGCCATCCAAACCGGCACACACATACAACAACAACAACAATAACAAACCCAGTGTAATTCTATAAGTGAAGTCTTGGGTGGAGAATGTGTACGCAGACCTTACTCTTACCTTCAAAAAGGCAGAAAAGCTGTTTCCGAAAGACCCTCGGCTTAGGGCAGCGCACACATACTAAAACAAGATAAATCCATCAAATACAGGATTTCCACAACATGAATCATATACTCATAGAGATGCTGATCTTCCAATTAAGAACACTATACGGACATGAATTCGCTCTCATCTTTAAACAGAACTAGCGTTGTACTCAAAGAACAAGACAGAAGGCTTAGTGTGTATAATCATTTCGATCATACCAGGGGAAAATAATCGGAAATAACCAGATTTATAATTGGTAATTAAAAAATAATCACAATTTCAAAAGTAAACGAAATTTAGTTATGTTTTTATAAAGATAAAATTTGAATAAAACATTCTTAAAAATCCGTAAAAATTCCAGCATAATACGATGGAGTTCAAATTTTTTACGTATAAGATTCCAGCATAATGTACTGAAATTTCATAATATGCTAGAGTTGCAACATAATATATTAGAAGTTTATATGCAGAAGCTCCATAATCCAGCTGGAACTTTTGATGTTTCAGCAAAATAGTAGTAACTATTTTTTAATGACCTTGCAAACTCTGACTATTTTCAATTACCAGTCCGAAAAAACTGGCTAGCCTGTGCTATTTGTCCAACATGCCATGACAAAATTAAATTTCATGATCCAAACTCCATGTAGCAATGCAAAATTTTGAAACATAAACAGAATGATATCTAAGGTTAAGAGAACACGCACCTTAAACCGGAGACAAGCTCTAGCTTTTGGTCTTTAATTCCCACAATTACCTCGTGAAGGAAAGGTGATGGAGTCTTAGGATTGAACTATATATATATAGGTAGATACCGTGGTAAAATGTGTTTGCGTGTGTGGTTTAGATGTGTAATGTGGGTGGTATATATTGTTTTTTTTGGTTTCCCACCCGGTGTTCGGTATTCGTATTGAAGCCCGACTATATCCGGATTCACGCCGGATAGAGCCCCATTCGGGAGATAGCACTTTCTACCAAAGATTTTTCCATACCCGAGCTCGAACTTGAAATCTCTGGTTAAAGAAGGAGCAGCCCCATCCTTTGCTGGTATAAATGGTGTATTTATAAGAGAATGAGAAGTAAAACGATGAGGCCGGAGAGTTGGATATATATATGTATATAATTATATATGTGGGAGGAAATTTCCTGTTAATTAGAACAATGTCAACGAGAGCACTCTCCTGGTTGAGGTGAATTAAAGAAATAACAACAGCATTTAAATATTGTGCCTTAATTGTAGCTGATCTCAACTTAATGCCACTAATATAATATGAGTCATGGAATATATTTCTAATTGCATATGGTTTTCTTAATACCGAGTTAATTAGTTGGAACCAACTAGGCAGTTAAAGTCAACTTAACTTCAACAGTTATAATTTAAATAGTACAGGCTAGCCAGTTTTCAGACGGGTAATTGAAAAATAGCTAATGTTTGCAAAGTTATTGAAAAATAACTACTATTTTGCTGTAACACAGAAAGTTCCAGCATAATATACTGGAGATTGGAGCACTTGTGTATGAACTTCCAGCATATTATGTTGGAACTCCATCACACAGAAAGTTCCAATATAATATACTAGAGACTGAAGCACATGTGTATGGACTTCCAGCGCATATTATGTTGGAACTCCATCACACAGAAAGTTCCAATATAATATACTAGAGACTGGAGCACCTGTGTATGGACTTCCAGCGCATATTATGTTGGAACTCCAGCACATTATGAAATTCCAAGCATGTTATGTTGGAAGTTTACATGTAAAAAATTCGAGCTCAGCATATGCTGGAATATTTTTCGGATTTTAAATAGTATTTTTGTTCAAATTTATCTTTTACATGAAAAGTGGCTAAATTTCAATTACTCTTGAAACTATGATCATTTTTCAATTATCACTTGTAAATCTGAATATTTTGAATAGTTTGCTAGTATGTACCAACTTGCAGCATTAATCAATATAACACTTAAATAATAATTCAGGATTTTAATTCATGTTTTGTTAAATTCTGGTTTAGTTAACTAGCAAGAGAAGTCTGAACAGCTATTATAGCATTAATCAAGAGGCAACACTTCATGTGAGAAGTCTAAGATTTTTTTCCCAAGTCTAGTTTATGTATATTCAACTGGCCAGCTAAGTCTTAACAACTACCTAGATAATTGTAGCGTAATTAAAGGGATAGCAATGTATTATCAATTCATTTTTAATTGGGCGAAAATTATTTTGATCTCTTAACTTAAGTTTAAAAAGCAAATATTAAACAATAGGCATTTTGCTCCTCCAAAATCAATTGCGTTTTTAAAATACCTATTTTACGCTCAAGCTTATTAATCTTTGTCTGTTCTCTAAATAATAATAATAATAAAATTCAAACACACACACACATACATACATATATATATATATAAAATAGAGAATAAAGAGAAAGTGAGACTTAAATATGTACTTAATGCATAATATTAAACTAATAATCGTAAAAAGCAACGATAAAATTTGTTATGAATTCATAACAGTACAATTCTAGTTAAATTTTATGGACGTTAATTATTAAATTTGTAATAAGATGTTTTAATCGGTAAAACGCTTAGGTAAAGATAAAATATATCTTATATAATATAAGAAAACTATATGCATAGAGGAGGAATTGCAAATGTCAAGCGCAATATAGATAATGCATATGATAGGAGCCGTAGAATGTCGAGTCCGGAACCTAAATAATGTGTGTTTGGACTCAAAATACACAAATAAGTGTATTAAAAAAACGATATTTTTATATATAGCGTGCAACAACAACACGCTATATATTAACGGTAACGTCTGCCATTAAGTATAGTGTGTTGTTGTTACATGCTATATGTGTCAGACGATTTGACTTCTCGTATAGCGTGTTCAAATTAAACGCTATATATAGCATTTTCAAATCATTCGCTATATATAGCGTTTAATTTGAACTCGTCTTTTTCCTCGACAGAACCCTCCCCTATTTTTTTACAAACTCTCCCTTCTCCTTCTGGTCCCCCCATCCCCAACTGCTCGACAATCTAAAAAAAAAATTGTGGGCCCCTCCCGTCACACAAAAGGTCAGGAACGTAGGTCCTCCATTATAATAGAGTATTCTGGACTCGTGGTTTATCTCCTTCGTCTTCAAATTTTCACGCAATACACACACAACATCGAGGTATTTCGATTTATTTTATGTCCAAACTTGTATAATAATGTATATCACTGCCTATTGAATGTGTTTCCATGTTCTTTTGTATTGTATTTGCAAAACTAGTATGTTATATTTATCCGAACTTAGATATTAGTGTAAAATTTAGATTTAATTTTTTATGTTAATATAAGTATTTAGATATTAGTATTTCTATGTCATTATGTGTTTTTTATTTGCGAAACTAGTATTGTTGTAGCTATTTTTTTTAATGTTATGTGATTAAAATATATATGTTGTTTATATTTAGTTTATTTATTAGCGTAGTAAAATGTAGAAACTTTTAGCATAGTAAAATGTATAGTATTTTAGCGTAGAATCCTTGTAGTTTAAGTAATTTTAGAATGGCAGATGAAAATATATACGTTGTACAAATTTAGAATTTAAATTATAAAACAAACACACACAAAATAATCGAAAAATTAAATTTGACATACATAAATATTCACGATAGTTTGGTGCTACTGGGCCTTAAATATCGAGCATGGAACCCAATTGTTACATATACTTTGTACAATTAAATCTCTAAAAAAAATTAGAATTTAAATTATAAATAAACACACACAAAATTATTAAAAAATTGAAATTGACACACATAAATATTCATAAAAAATTGGTGCTACTGGGCCTAAAATATCGAGCCTGGACCCAAATTGTTACATATACTTTGTACAATTTAATAATTAAAAATTTAAAATTTAAATTATAAAACAAACACACACAAAATTATCAAAAAATTAAATTTGACACACATAAATATTCATGTAAATTTGGTGCTACTAGGCCTAAAATATCGAGCCTGGACCCAAATTGTTACATATACTTTGTACAATTAAATATCTAAAAAATATAGAATTTAAATTATAAAACAAACACACTTATTAAAAAAAAATTGAAATTAACACATATAAATATTCATGAAATTTGGTGCTACTGGGCCTAAAATATCGAGCCTGGACCCAAATTGTTACATATATTTTGTACAATTTAATAATTAACATACAATTAATGTTGTATAATTTACAGTTGACGACATGGACGCGCCTATACATCCCGGCCCTTACTCTCGTGAGCTATTAGTGCTTCAGGGCGATCATAGGTCCGCCCATATATGGGATGGAGAGTTACTTTCCCAGACTCTCCGCGCTAGGAGAGTGGACGACATGTGGGATTTTCTTCATGACAGAGTTCTCCACGAGTGTGTAGTCCATCGCCTCCAGGCTACGGGATTCTATAGGATTATTGAGATCTCCCAGATATAGGTTGACTGGGCGTTGATCACGGCGTTGATTGAGTTGTGGCCACCGAAGACCCATACTTTTCATTTGCCCATTGGCGAGGCTACCGTCATGCTACAGGACGTTGATGTTTTATATGGCCTGCCCGCTGATGGCATGGCCGTTTCACTGCCTATTGCTATGAGATATATGTCGCGTGATCATTATTTGGATATGCTGCATCAGCTCACTGGTTTCAGGCCTCAGGACGAGGCTGCATCGTCTGGTGCTAGTGGATTGGCTTTGACCCCTATTAGACAGCACCTGGAGCTACTCCACCCCGATATCACTGACGATACAGAGAAGGAGTATATCACCCATTATACGAGGTTGTTGTTGCTTCTTCTATTTGGAGGGGTCTTGTTCCCTAATACTTCAGGAAACCTCGTCAGCCTTAGATTTTTGCTTCATCTTCAGCTGCTGGATGAGTTACCCTATTACAACTAGGGTGCTGTTGTTCTCGGCTACATATATAGGCAGATGTGTTAGGCGAGCATGGCCACTCAGAGAGATGTTTGTGGTTTTATGCCGCTTCTACAAGTGACAACATATTCCAATAAAGTGTTCATCATTTCCAACTCTACCTAGTTAGACTTTATCTTAACCATTACGTCAACTTTGTATGTTAGGTTTGGGCCTGGGAGCGGTTCTTGCAATTTCAGCCACCGCGACCACAATTACCTCCTACTGTAGCACCTTCGTTTCTCCCTCTAGCCAGGAGGTAGGTTCTCCGCCGTAGACTATTACGAGAGTATGATGCTCATCATAATCTCCCCCTCTGCAGGGATGTGTTGGATCTGCTGGAGGGCGCACAGGTAAATATGTACCTAAACTTACCTTGTGTGGATTAACTTAGTGTTGCGCATACTCACGTTTCATGTTCTGAGACTTATTCAGTAGGTCCTCCTTCCCTACAGAATGGAATTCCAGGGCGTCTTGCTTAGATCGCATTTGCTTTCCCTTACTCCTGAATAGTGAAAGATTGAGCCTTTTTTGTTCAACCCAAGTGTTGGAGTTCCAGAGCACACTCTACCTTTGCTTCCTCATTCTTCTGTGCCAAGAATGATCCAATTGAATCTTCTGAAGCTGATATGTAAAATTTGATAGTTCATCTGGATGCCATACAACGAGGATTTGATAGCTTCCCTGCCACCTTATTGCTCGGCTGGTCGACATATTTGGAGCACTTCTGCCCCACTCATATGCCTTGATATTGTGGAGCATCATGCCTCGGAGCGGGTACTTCGGCAGTTTGGTCGCCCACAGTATATACCGAGGGGGCCTATATGGGATACGCTCAAGCTTCCATTCAACAACCGTCCCGGGGTTAAACTGCTGCAGTGCAGCCATGTACCTAGGGAGATCTGCAAATGACTTATCCCAGTTACCATAGACTATTTCAAACGCTCTTTTCCGCTCGAGATATGCCTTTCTTTTAGTAATTGTATGGCCATGTTCCTGGTGGACTGCTGTAATGCACTCTTTGATTTTATACCTTATGGTTGCTTGGATGTGTGGAATAAGAACGAGAGAAATCAAGTCAATATCTAAGTTGAAATGATTCCCGTTGAATGTGTCCATTTCGCATGTGTGGGTGGGAATGTATTTACCCACTTTCCATAGACCTGTCTTCTTCTTCATCGCACGCAACATCCAATGACATGGCCAAAACCACCTGCGACAAACAACCTTGTATACAACCGGACTTGACTCCCATACCGTCATCTTACGACACTCTTTTACGTTGTGCATTATACAAGCCCTGCTTAGGCGCGCTTTATCAAGAAAAAGTATTCCCTTTGCCAGCACCGTTGGTCTAGACTCATCCCATATTGTTGTCCGAATTTCATCAAAATCCCTTGTTAGAGCTTCCACATCCGGCATGTTTGGCAAGTTATCAAGGTAAGGAACCTCCCTTGAATGAAACGACACTTGGGACTCATGCACTCTTCGTCTAGGGGGGTGGAGCGTACTCTCTCGTCAAATCAGGTCCTTCCTTCTCATCCTCCTCATCACCATCCTCACGATGAAAGGGTGTATCGTCTCCAGATTCATCAGCATTGTTGTCGTAATCACTCTTCTCTTCCTCACTCTGTGCATCTGCTAGATCCTGATTTAATACGTCGTCTTTGGGCAATTGAGTGAGTACATTTGCTTCAACTTGCTCGTTTTCACTGCACAATCAACAAATTAATAAGATGCTAAATTTACAAAATACTTTTCATATAGCCGTATCACTTCACTTACAAGTCGTAATGTGATAAAATTCCATGATGGACATTTTCATGTAGGTGATAGCTCCCGGATGGACCACTTTGATCCAACATACCAAAACTTTGCTCGGGTTCATTATTTATAAAACTCATATCCGGCCTGTACCTCATGTTAAATATATGAGCGTTAATACAAATTGAATACAACAAAATTGTACATCGTACCACAAAGGAAAATTGAAGCTTACCACTCGTCTTGTGAATTATGTAAAGCATGAGGGGATAAGTTTAAATCAAGAAAAACTCTTTCATCAGGAACATGTCCGGCAAAAACTCCTCCAGAATAGCCAGCCGATGACTGGGGGTTATCCGGAACATGTCCGGCCACCTCATTGTTTGGAACATCTTGGACCTTGACGTACATATCCAACATATTTATTACAAGATATTCCCGGTATTCATCCGGAGTCCTCAGAAAATCCCTCAAAGTTTCATCATCGTAGATGTTTAACTCCGAGTAAAAACAGCCCCTTGCGGAGTGACGGAATACGGATATCTTTCGGTTACTTTAAGTATCACTGAATATTTCCTCTTTCCCATTTTTTTTGCATAACAACGATATCAATTTATTGTACTCTAGTGTAAGTGGTAATTTAACATGACCCTGTGGAGATAAACTATACCTCACAGAGTTATTCTCCGTCACAACCTCACCCCCCAATATAATGAAACTCTTATTCTACTCTCTTCAGACATTGCAAAAAAAAAATGCTTCAGAGTTTAACAATAAGAAAATATTGAAGAGAATTAGAATTGTATGTGAACGATTTTTCCAAATACTCTGACCATTTTATATAAGAAATGGCTAGTCCGGGAGGTAGAAAATTTTGGATATATAGCGTTTTCTAAACACACGCGATACATTGAAATAATTATGATTGTCAGTTCACTTATTGGTGGGGCCAAAATCAGAGGATATCGTTTTCTGTTTGTGCGCTATACATATAGTGTGTAACAACAATACGCTATACTTAACGGCAGACGTTACCGTTAATATATAGCGTGTTGTTGTTGTACGCTATATATAGAAATGTCGTTTTTTTTAATACACTTATTTGTGTGTTTTGATTCCAAACACACATTATTCAGGTTCCGATTTCGTAGAATGTCTATTGTGCAATATTAGAGCAGAACTTTAATTAATTTTTAAGATAAACTTCTGTGATCAAAATGAATTTTCACCCTTTTTCTTTTTAATTGCACGTGGTCAAGGTTTAGTTAAGAGACTTTCTTTTTACAGGAAAAAGGAAAACATAAATCTCCTAGTGAACTTTATTTAACGTAGCTGTTGTGCTTACACATTTACCAAACTTCAGTACTGTAACAATGAACAAAGATAAATTATAGCATAGGTCTAAAATAAATAAATTATTATGGACTTGAACTTATTATGAGTAATATGATCTTTCCTTCCAATAGAATTGTACTATATCACATTAAACTCTAATGTAGCAACAGTGACGTTAGCCACGTAATGAACACCCTTCGTTAGAAAATTATACTATGCTATATAGAAAATTATACTGTTTAATATATGTAAAAATTATTTTTATACCTATATATTAAACTTTGAATACCTTTCACGAAAGTCCTGGTTTTGCCACTGTGTAACCACATTAAAAGCTAGGCATATTACAACCCCAAAAATGGACAGGGTCTTAAGCAAATTTGTTTACCTTTAAAATTGGATAACAATTGACTTTGTTAGTGATTTTAAGGATACGCAAATTAATGCTCAAATCGGTACCACGTCACCAAAAAATTATAAGAGTCTCCCGAACTAATAATGATGTATTGCTTATGAGTGTAAATTACAACATGTCCGATGAATTGTCAAGTCCTCTTTATATGTTAGGGGAGACCTACCTTTTAAGGTATTATTTTATGTTATATAAAAGACAAAAGTCCTTGATTTGCTGACCGTTGGTCTTTTTTTTGACATATTCCGTGATTTCTGCCGTAATGACCGGTTAGTTGCGGGAATTGCGGACCCCTGTCGGATAAGTTGGCAAGGCTTTCTTTGAGACCGTTAGAACCAGGACCCATTACGCCTTCGATAAACTAGAAGGCAAATATGGTGGTTTCGATGACTAATTTTGAAAATGCTTTGGGTCCGATCTCAATTACCACATTTCCATCTTGGCTGATTGTGTTGGACGTTAGATCGAACTTCGAGCTCAACTTTACCGAATTATAGATATTTCAACCCCGACATACCATTTTGGATGCTCGATCGAACATCGAGCTCGATTTTACCCGTATACAGATAGTCCCCTCGTTTTTCGGAGAGTATGTGACGAGAAACGATCTCAATTCTCACTTCGATAAATCATGACGTAAACGACAAAAGATAGTTGAAACATCCCGTCGGTAAAGTTTTCTTGGCATTAAATGTGTGTTAGTTAATGGTCCGTCACTCCAGGATGTGAACCGTCGTTTGGGAAAACTATAAATACCATTTCATCCATTCATTTGAACTTTACATTCAAACGTTTTGCTCTTGTGCTTTAAGAAACTTCATCACTCTCACTTTCTGGTTTAGATTCAAAACTTCTTCCCTTCTGGTTTTCTGAAAGCTTTCATAATCTATCTGCCAATCACAACTTTTCTTTTATCAACACCTTCTTTTCTCCTTTATCCAGAAGCAATGGCAAACACTTCAAAATCCGTTCCCAAAAAGAAAACCCCTCTTCCTCGCGACCGTCTGATAACGTTTCGCCTGCTGCTATCGAGGAACCGACATCAGAACCTCCTCTAAAAATGTTTGACCCTATGGGGTGCCCAACCAGAACCGATTTCGAGGTTAAGAAAACCTATCGGTATCGGGTCGGTGCGAGCCGATCTCGAGATATATATGCTCGGTCACCGATAGTGTCCTCACCAAGGCCAAGGAAGAGTGCAACTAGGCTGATAAATATGTAGTGGTCCCTACGCCTGAGAAAACGATTACAACTCACTTGGAGGTTTTTTAAGTGTTTACACTTACCCCTTCACGCTGGGCCCCTTAGACCCGATCATTATTGTCTTTTGTAAGAGGTGCGAGGTAACCCTCGGGCAAATTCATCCTTCGTTCTGGAGGATAGTAATTCTCCCCCACTTTTTCATGAGCAAAATCGAGGGGTTTCCCTTCACCATCAACCATTTCATGCGCTTGTATAGTCCCCGACTCTATCGAAAGGGATTAATCAAGCTTGCATGTCTGACCAATAAGGCCCCGTTCTCGAGCATCGATGAATACCGGGACCGAGGCTGGTTGGGCTGATTCGTTCGAGTGAAGACTTCGAATTTAATCCCTATCGAGTACATGCCATTTCTTGAGAAATGACACATGTCACGTAAGTACAACATTAGTTTCAAGGTTTTGTTCATTACTCTTCCCTTCCTTTTCTTTTCTCATTAGTGCCTTGTGGCGGTGCAGTTATCGCTCGGATTCCGGAAGTAGTTCCTCGACTCAAGCATTAGGTCGACGGTATTGCAACACAGAGATCATACTCCAAGTGTTCATAGCGTGAGCTTTCGAAGGGTCGATGGGAGGCCCGTTCCCATGGTGAGATTTTTCTTTAAGTTACATTTGACCTTAATTTCACACTACCGATTTCTAACTTGTTTTACTTTCTTTTTTTGTAGGTTTAACAAAAGATGTTAAAATGAGGCCTCCATCCGGTGATGATGATGTCTTCACAGAGTCCCCCGCTTGGAAGCAGGATAAAAAGAAGAAAAGAAAAAAGGCTCCGAGCTCTCCGGGCCCCGATAAGGACAAACCAAAGAGACGATTGGGTAGAAAACCCAAGGAAAGCAGCAGTGCTTGAGCACTGCCTCCGGATTCACTCCACCGATTGAGAGATGAGTCCGATGGGGGGAAGGAGGGGCCTATGACCTGATGGATAGCGTACCGCCTCAACCCGTAGGGAAAGGAGCTTCCGAGTCGGTGGGAGGGAGGGGGTGAGGCTAACCCTCATCAAATTAGAAAAACTGAGGCGGTCGGGGCCGAAGCCTCACAAGCTGTGGGCAACGCTTCGAAGGAAGCACTTAGCGGAATAGAGATTGCCGAGTCGCCCTCATTCACATAATCGATGTTTAACGAGGTGCTAGCTGCGAAAGAATGCTATGCCGAAGTGAGTCATGAAACGAATGACCTTGTCCGCAGTATCTTCGATAGCATGGACTCAACGGACACGGAAGATGCTACACCGCATATCGAGGATAATCCATTGCCCCGAAGCAAGCATACCCTCTTCAAGCTCGAGATTGGTCGGTAAATTTTCTGCTCCGAGTGCATATCCCGATCGGAAACGTTACCATTAATTTTTCCCTTTCGGAGGATGCCCGAATTTACTCCCCCCATAGGGGTAGCCAGCTATCTTCGGTGTCTGGTGACCGAGGATGATCAAGCTAAGATGAACGGGTGGATGCACCCTGTCTTTTCAACAAAGCGCAACAGGCGTTGAACCGGGTAACTTCATGCTTTCCTCAGTGAATTTTTGATTTACACTTAGAGTTTTTCTACAATTGACTTAGCGTTCCTTTTCTTTCGTAAGTTTCGATGCTCACCGCAAGGCTTTTTTGAGGTATCGGGATGACCTGAAATAACTCGAAGCCGAAGTGCGAGAGCTTATTGAGAAGAGAGACGCCTTTAAACTTCTCAGTGAACAGCTCGAAGAGGAGGCCAAGAACCTCCGTGCCGAGTTAGAAGTTTCCCGGAAGGATCATGCTGACTTGGTCGAGCAGGTAAAAATTTTTGAAGTAAGTATTGATGAATTTGATTCGGTGACTGATGGTCAAAATCCGCAGGTCCAGCAAAAACTCGATCAGATTGATCAACTCCGAGCCGAAATGGATATAGTCAAAGCTGAGAGCGATGAATGGAGAGGAAAAATGGATCGTTTGGCCTCGGAAAAAGAGGCTGCTCGGGCACAATTAACTTCAGCCAAAATTCAGGTAAGAGCGGCAAAGGAAAGAGACGAGGTTTAGACAAAAAAGGTTGAGAAGCTCCAATCTCGGCTTGGTTCGGTCGTCTCAGATCGAGATAATCTGGCCAAGGAGCTTAAAACGTCCAAGTCAGAGGTCGTCGTGGTCAAGGCCGAAGCTGATGAAATGGTGGAATAGTACAAGGCCAATGCTTAAGTGGCTCAAGACCAATCAAAAAATATAGTCGAGCATATGAAGTGGCAATCTCGAAGGTAGGCCCTTAAGGAAGTTCATGCTCGAGGCTTTAATTTATCGGCTGAGATTGAGGATGCCAAGGTGCTAGAAACCGATGCTAAGAAGCTAACCTATCCCGAAGAGGAAGATTCCGAGTGCTCAGTCAGGTCAGGGGGTGGAGAAAAGCTTGAAAATCCCGATGACGAGGCGGGATCCGGCCAAGATCGGGTTGCTTATGTTTGATTTTATTTCATTTTGTACTTAGTACTTTGTGTCAAGGCCTCTCGTCCTCCGTAAAGACAATACTTCATAAATATAATTTTTTTTTTGATAATTCTCGAGTTCTTCCTTTGCTTTTCTTTTTATGTTTTGCAAGGATTGAAATGCCTTAGCATTAATTAGTCATGTTCGGAATTTCGAACAGGCTTTGACTTTAATTTCATTATCTCTAAGGCATCGTGGAATCCGGCATGTCCGAGAAATTTTCCCCGAAACACATATACTTTTTAGAATATGATTTGCCGAGAGTGTGTTTTGCTTTTTCATAAGCTTTATTAACCTCGGGTTTTGTTAACCCGAAAATGGCCTTAGCCTTTAGTTTGGGCAATTCCAAACAAACTTCATGCCCTCGAGTTCTGTTAACCCGGAACGACCTCAACCTTTTAGTTTGGTCAATGCCAAATAAGCTTCAAGCCTTTGGGTTTTGTTAACCTGGAACAACCTTAGCCTTTTAGTTTGGGCAATGCAAAATAAGAATGACCTTGTCCGCAGTATCTTCGATGGCATGGACTCAACGGCCACAAAAGATGCTACACCGCATATTGAGGATAATCCATTGCCCCAAAGCAAGCAGACCCTCTTCGAGCTCGAGATTGGTCGGTAAATTTCTTGTTCCGAGTGCATATCTCGATCGGAAATGTTACCATTATTTTTTCCCTTTCGGACGACGCCCGAATTTTCTCCCCCCCATAGGGGTAGCCAGCTATCTTCGATGCCTAGTGACCGAGGATGATCAAGCTAAGATGAACGGGTGGATGCACCTTGTCTTTTCAACAAAGCGCAATAGGCATTGAACCAGGTAATTTCATGCTTTCCTAAGTGAATTTTTGATTTATACTTAGAGTTTTTCTACAGTTGACTTAGCGTTCCTTTTATTTCATAGGTTTCGATGCTTCACCACAAGGCTTTTTTGATGTACCGGGATGACCTGAAACAACTCGAAGCCGAAGTTCGAGAGTTTATTGAGAAGAGAGACGCCTTTAAATTTCTCAGTGAACAGCTCGAAGAGGAGGCCAAGAACCTCCGTGCCGAGCTAGAAATTGCCCGGAAGGATCATGCTGACTTGGTCGAGAAGGTAAAAGTTTTTGAAGTAAGTATTGATGAATTTGATTCGGTGACTGATGGTCAAAATTCGCAGGTCCAGCAAAAACTCGATCAGATTGATTAACTCCGAGCCGAAATGGATATAGTCAAAGATAAGAGCGATGAATGGAGAGGAAAAATGGATCGTTTGGCCTCGAAAAAAGAGGCTACTCGGGAACAATTAACTTCGGCCGAAATTCAGCTAAGAGCGGCAAAGGAAAGAGACGAGGTTCAGACAAAAAAGGTTGAGGAGCTCCAATCTCGACTTGGTTCGGCCGTCTTAGATCGAGATAATCTAGCCAAGGAGCTTAAAACGTCCAAGTTAGAGGTCGTCGTTGTCAAGGCCAAAGCTGATGATATAGTGGCACAGTACAAGGCCAATGCTGAAGTGGCTCAAGACCAATCAAAAAATATAGTCGAGCATATGAAGTGGCAATCTCGAAAGCAAGCCCTCGAGGAAGTTCATGCTTGAGGCTTTAATTTATCGGTTGAGATTGAGGATGCCAAGGTGATAGAAGCCGATGCTAAGAAGCTGGCCTATCCCGAAGAGGAAGATTCTGAGTGCTCAGTCAGGTCTGGGGGTGGAGAAGACCTCAAAAATCCCGATGACGAGGCGGGCTCCGGCCAAGATCGGGCTGCTTCTGTTTGATTTTATTTCATTTTGTACTTAGTACTTTGTGTCAAGGCCTCTCGTCCTCCGTAAAGACAATACTTCATAAATATAATTTTTTTTTTGATAATTCTCGAGTTCTTCCTTTGCTTTTCTTTTTATGTTTTGCAAGGATTGAAATGCCTTAGCATTAATTAGTCATGTTCGGAATTTCGAACAGGCTTTGCCTTTAATTTCATTATCTCTAAGGCATCGTGGAATCCGGCATGTCCGGGAAATTTTCCCCGAAACACTTATACTTTTTTGAATATGATTTGCCGAGAGTGTGTTTTGCTTTTTCATAAGCTTTATTAACCTCGGGTTTTGTTAACCCAAAAATGGCCTTAGCCTTTAGTTTGGGCAATTCCAAAAAAGCTTCATGCCCTCGAGTTCTGTTAACCCGGAACGACCTCAACCTTTTAGTTTGGGCAATGCAAAATAAGCTTCATGCCCTCGAGTTCTGTTAACCCGGAACGACCTCAACCTTTTAGTTTGGGCAATGCAAAATAAGCTTCATGCCCTCGGGTTTTGTTAACCCGGAACATCCTTAGCATTTTAGTTTAGAAACGGTCCCCGAAAATAGTCATTGGAGTCCCCGTAAACAGTCATCGGGGGATGAACCAATTAAGCTTTTGATAAGCTAAACAAAAATAAATTTTTATTCATAAGGCAGAGGCTCTCTTTCAATCTTCGGAGTATATAAAGTTTATTGTGTATTTTATGTCTGGGCTCGGGCGATCTATGTGGGTACGGTTCATTCAACCGTTTGTCCCTTTACAAAGAATCCTACCGATCAAGCCTAGGGAATCATATGGACTATACCCCCTAGTGTTTGATAGAGAAGGCTCGAACATTGTTGACTTTGATTGTAAGTTAGCACGATCACTGTTGCCTAATTAAAAACCTTGCCGAAAAATCCCTTTATTAGAAAAAAATCGGATCAAAGAAAAAAGAGTGCAACACGTGCTTTCAGGCCAAGGAAATTATATCTTGGTACCTGCAAACGTTAGTTCAAAATGTAAATGAGAAGGTGATCGGGTTGTACCATAGCAGTAATACCGTTTTAAGTGAGCTATGTTCCAGTTGTTCAATAGTTGTTCACCACTTACTATCCCGAGTTTGTACGACCCCTTTTTGGTGATCTCGATAATTATATATAGACCTTTCCAGTTTGGTCCCAGTTTTCCTTCGTTCGGATTCCGATTGTTTGACATGACTTTTCTCAATACCAAGTCCCCGACATTGAATCTTCGTAGGTTTGTTCTTCAGTTTTAAAACCTCTCGATCTGTTGTTTCTGAGCTTCCATGCGTACAAGGGCGGCATCACACCATTCGTCCAGTAGTTCCAGGCTTGTGTTTAGGGTCTCATTATTTGTTTCTTTGGTATCATATCGAAACCTAAGGCTTGGTTATCCGACTTCGACCGATATCAGAGCTTCGATATCGTAAACCAGCGGGAATGGGGTGACCCCAGTACTAGACTTCGAAGTGGTACGATATGCCTACAGGACTTCGAGCAAGATTTCATTCCACTTTCCTTTAGCGTCGGCCAACCTTTTTTGAGGTTTTGGATTATGGTTTTATCTATGGACTCCGCATGCCCGTTCCTGCTAATGTGTAGGGTGTTGATAGGATTCTTTTATCTTATGGTCTTTGTGAAATTTTCTTACTTTGCTACCAACGAACTACTTCCCGTTATCACATACGATTTTGACAGGCATTCCTAACCGACATATAATGTGATCCCAAATTAAATTGATGACTTCCTTTTATCTGACCTTCTCGTATGCCTGGGCTTCTACCCATTTAGAAAAATAGTCAGTTATAAACAAAATAAATTGAGCCTTACCGGGTGACCGTGGTAGGGGCCAACGATATCCATTCCCCACTTCATGAACGACCAAGGTGACAAGACCGAGTGCAGCAATTCCCCGGCTTGATGAATCACCGGAGCATGCCTTTGGCATCCATCGCATCTTTGCACAAATTCCCTTGCATCCTTTTCCATGTCAATCTAATATTATCCGGCCCTGATTATTTTTCTTACCAGTGCTTCGGTGCCCGAATGATTTCTGCAAGTGCCTTCATGAATTTCCCTCAGGACGTACTCGGTATCTCCCGGTCCTAAACATATGACGATCGGTCTGTCAAACGTTCTTCTGAATAAAGTTCCATCTTCGGACAAAATAAATCGGGTTGCCTTTGTATGTAGGGCCCTAGATTCCTTTGGATCCGAGGGTAATTTTCCAATTTTCAGATACTCTACATATTTATTCCTCCAGTCCCATGTTAGGCTCATTGAATTTATTTCAGTATGGCCTTCTTTGACCACGGAACGCATTAATCGTATGACTGCCCCTGCTTTGAGTTCATCATCTTCTATTGACGACCCTAAACTAGCAAGGGCATCGACTTTATTATTTCGATCATGAGCCATGTGTTGTAGAATCCATTCCTTGAACCGATGTAATGTTACATGTGGCTTATCCATGTAACTCTATATTCGTTCTTCTCTTACCTCGAACGTTCCATTAACCTGGTTTACCACAAGGAGGAAATCACACTTAGCTTTGATCACCTCTGCTCCCAAGCTTCTGCCTAGTTCGAGACCTGCAATCATGGCATCATATTCGGCCTCATTGTTGGTTAGTTTTACAATTTTAATAGATTGCCTAACCATATTTCCCTTTGGTGGTTTTTGGACGATACCAAATACAGATCCTTTCACGTTTGAAGCACCGTCCGTAAAGAGAATTCAGACCCCCAAAGAGATTTCTGAGTTCAATAATAACTCTTTTTTGACTTCGGGTACTAGAGCCAGTGTGAAATCGGCCACAAAGTCTGCCAAGATTTGAAATTTGATGGCAGTTCGGTACTAATATTCAATATCGTCCCCACTGATCTCGACGATCCATTAGGCTAATCGTCACGAGAGTTTAGGTTTATGCATCACATTTCTCATTGGGTAAGCGATCACAACATATATGGGGTGATATTGAAAATATGGTTTCAACTTCCTAGAAGCGCTCAATAAAGCGAGCGCCAAGTTTTCTAGGTGACAGTACCTAGTTTCGGCCTCTCCCAAGGTCTTACTAACATAGTAAATTAGAAATGCGTACCTTTTTCTTCTCGAACCAGGACCCCACTTACCGCTATTTCCGAGATAGTAAGGTATAGGAATAACTGTCCATCTATCTTTGGCGTGTGGAGCAGCGGCGGGCTTGATAGATATCGCTTGAGTTCTTCCAAGGGTTGCTGGAACTCTAGGGTCCATGAGAAGTTACTTTTCTTTTTCAATAACAAGAAGAATCGATGGCTCTTATCGGAGGACCTTAAGATAAACCGACCCAGGACAACTATGCGCCCGATTAACCTTTGCACAACCTTTACATTGTCTACGATCGTGATATCCTCGATGGCTTTGATTTTATTGGGATTGATCTCGATTCCTCTGTTGGACACCATGAATCCAAGGAATTTACCCGATCCAACTCCAAACATACATTTCTCCATATTCAGCTTCATATTATACTTCTTCAATATATCAAAGGTTTCCTGCAAGTGTTTTAAATGGTCCTCTGCTCGTAGAGACTTAACCAACATATCGTCAATGTAAACCTCTATTGATCTTCCTATTTATACTTCGACCATCCGATTTACCAGACATTGGTAAGTGGCGCTTGCATTTTTTTAACCCGAATGGCATTACGTTATAGCAAATGTGTCGTACTTAGTGATAAATGATTTTTTCCCCTAGTCATCCACGTTCATCCGTATTTGGTTGTACTTGAAGTAGGCATCGAGAAAACTGAGAGTCTCGTGCCCGACCGTGGCATTGATCATACGATCGATATTGGGCAAAGGGAAAGAATCCTTGGGGCATGCCTTATTCAAAATTTTGTAATCTATACACATTCTTAGCTTATTCCCTTTTTAGGAACTATCACTACGTTTGCTAACCAATCCGGGCATTTAACTTCTCGAATAGACCCTATTTTAAGGAGTTTAGATACCTCGTCCCTGATTAAAGCATGTTTGACCTCAGACTGGGGCCTCCTCTTCTGCTTAACTAGGTAGAATTTTGGGTCCAGGCTTAGCTTGGGAGCGGTTACCTCCGGCGAAATTCCTGTTATATCGAGATGAGACCAAGCGAAAAAATATTTGTTAGTTATAAGAAATTGAATGAGTTTTTTTTTCGAGCTCGGGTTCTAGCCCCATGCCCAGGTATACCTTTCGATCAGGCAAGCGTTCACTCAACGTGACTTGCTCCAGTTCCTCGACCGTAGATTTCATAGAGTCGGAGTTGTCGGGTATTATGAAAGATCTGGGTACCCCCTTATCGTTGCCCTAGTCTATCCCTTGTTCCTCCGATTCTGTCGAGTCTTGCATTGGTGATATCTATTTAGTCTCATTTTGTCTCATCGGAATTGGATTCTTTGATATGGAGAGCGTGGATGTCGGGATCGCCTCATCGACCACGAATATTTCCCTAGCAGTCAGTTGCTCCTCGTACACTATTTCGATTCCTTTGGGCATTGGGAATTGACACCTGGTGTAATGTCGAGGGTACTTCTCTCATATTGTGAATCCATGGTCTTCCGAGCAAATCGTTGTACCTCATGTCCTCCTCGATTACATAGAACTTGGCTTCCTGAATAACCCCGACGACATTTGCCAATAGGGTTATTTTCGCTTTGATGGTCTCGCATGATATGTTGAACCCATTCAAGACTCGGACTGCTGGTACGATCTTATTTTGTAGGCCGAGTTGTTCTACAACCCTTGATCTGATGATATTGGCTGAGCTACCTGGATCAATTAACACATGTTTAATTCGATATTTATTTGCGAGTACCGATATTACCAGTGCATCATTATGGGGTTGTGTGTTCCCCTCTGCATCTTTATTATTGAATGATAAGGTTGTTTCCGGTAGGTAATCTCGAGTCCGTTTTTCCCTGGTGGTGGACAGTTTGGCACGTTTCAGCATCGGTCCTTGAGGAATGTCGACACCACCGATGATCATGTTGATGACATGCTCAAGTTCCTCTTCTTCGGCTCGTTTAACAGAATCCTTGTTCCTAAAATGGTTTTTGGCCCAATCACTGCGGAGTTCTCGGAGATACTCATTGTTGAATAACCGGGCCACTTCTTTCCTTAGTTGTCGACAGTCTTCCGTTCTATGACCGCGAGTGCCATGATATTTTCATATTAAGTTGGGATCCCTTTGGGCTGGATCAGATTGCAAAGGTCGAGGCCAATTGATATCTTTGATGTGACGAATGGTGAATACTATGGCGGAAACGTCGATACTGAAATTGTATTCCGATAACCTTGGTGCTTCTTTAGACCCGATGGGCTTGTCAAAATTATTTTTACCCATGAGACCCCAGTTGTTTTGCCTTCGGTCATTTCTTGCAGGGTTTCGTTCAAACCTACTGCTTTTTCTATCCTTATTGTATGGTTGATACCGCTTCCGATTCGATCTTGATTCGTGATTGACGTCTCTTCTGGCTCTGTCCATGATCCTAACAGGGTGTGGTCCGGAAGGGATCCCGAGCTGGTCATCCTCGACCCTGATTTTTTACTGATATCGGTGATGAACATCGGTCCAAGTAATGGCTGGATATTTTACCAAGTTTTGTTTCAACTGTTGTGAAACCAACGAGCTTCGAATGTTAAGCCCCTGGGTGAAAGTCTAAACGGCCCAATCGTCTGCAAATCCTTCCTCTCCATTTAGAATCGGGACACGAACTCTCTGAGCATTTCATTATCTTTTTGCTTTACTTTAAAAGTGTCTGAATTCCTGGTCTCGACCTTTATAGCCCCGGCGTGTGATTTTACGAACGAATCTTCAAGCATAGCAAAAGAGTCAATAGAATTAGGGGGAAGGTTGTGATACCATATCATAGCTCCTTTTGACAAGGTCTCATCGAACTTTTTCAGCAAGGCAGACTTGATTTCATCATCCTCCAAGTTGTTTCCCTTGATGGCGCACATATAGGAGGTTACGTGCTTGTTTGGATCGATTGTTCCGTTGTACTTAGGGATCTCGGGCATGCAAAACTTTTTGGGAATAGGCTTAGGAGCCGCGCTCGGGGGAAAAGGTTTTTGAATAAATTTCTTGGAATCCATGCCTTTCAGTATCAGAGGTGCTCTTGGAATTTGATCAACCCTAGAATTATAGGTTTTCACCTTTTTATCATTAGCCTCGATTTTCTTTTCCCCTGCTTCTACTTGTTTCGTCAATTCTTCAAGCAATTTCATGATCTTGGGGTTAACCCCGATTCACTCTCGTCCGTTCTTTTAGAGACATTTCTACGGATGGCTTCCCGATGGGGCTCGGGTTCTCTCCTGCTCGGTGCTCGACCTGGATCTGCAACTGAGCTATCGCCGCCTGTTGAGCCTGTAGCATTTTGAAGATCATACGCAGGTTGATTCCATCATTTTCGCCATCGTATGTGTCTTGGGCAATCAAACAGACTTCGTGTATGCTATTTTCGGGCTCGGTAGGCTGATTTGCATCGATGGCCACATTTGAACAGGCATCAACGGGAACCACCACCAGGATTCTACCAAGATCGACCAGGTTTACCTCATTACCGAGCACTGCACTATTTTTCTTGCCATGGTGACCAGACTATATGTCCATGTTTTGAGGGACATGTTGTAGGTTTGACATCTCGACCCTGACCTGGAATAAAAAATACTTCAAATAACAAGTGAAAATGGGCTGTGTTATGGTAACTCGTATCAAATTGCCTCTATTACCTTAGCCCCACGGTGGGCGCCAAACTATTTACCCTCAAAATTGATTAACAATTGAATTTGTTAGTGGTTTTACGGACACACGGATTAATTTGATAATGAAAGGTAAATTAAAATGCGATTAAAATAAATAATGACAGAATAAATGCAAATCACACGAATTGGATAACTTCAACCTAGGGAGGTTGGATATCCTCAAGCTGGATAAATGCTCAAATCGGTACAACGCCACCAAAAAATGTAAGAGCCTCAAGAACTAATAATGATGTATTGCTTGTGAGTGTAAATTACAACATGTCCAATGAATTGTCATATCCCCTTTATATATTAGGGGAGACCTACCTTTTAAGGTATTATTTTATTATTATATAAAAGACAAAAGCCATTGATTTGCTAACCTTTGGTCCTTTTTTGACGTGTTCCGTATTTTTTGCCGTAATGACCGGTTAGTTATGGGAATTGCGGACCCCTGTCGGATAAGTTGGCAAGTATTTCTTTGAGACAGTTAGAACCAGGACCTGTTACGCCTTCGATAAACTTGAAGGAAAATCTGGTGGTTTCGATGACTAATTTTGACAATGCTTTGGGTCCAATCTCAATTACCATATTACAATCTTGGCTGATTGTGTTGGACATTAGATTGAACTTCGAGCTCGACTTTACCCGATTACAAATATTTTGACCCCGGCCTAACGTTTTGGATGCTCGATTGAACATCGAGCCTAGTTTTACGTGTATACAAAATTGCAGAGCTGATGCAAGTGCAAAACTAGTGCAGGTGAATGGATGCATTTCTAGCCTGTTTGGCCAAGCTTCTAAAATCAGTTTATTTTGAGAAATGCTTTTCTCAGAAGTACTTTTGGTGAGAAGCAATTTATGTTTGTCTAATTAATTTGAAAAACACTTTTGAACAGTAATTAGTGTTTGACCAAACTTTTGAAAACTGCTTCTAAGTGTATTTTTCTCAAAAGTGCTTTTAAGAAAAGTGTCTTTGGAGAAAAACTGCTTTTTTTCTGCTTCTCAAAAACTATTTTTGCTTCTCCTCAAAAACACTTTTTTTTTCTACGAGCTTGGTCAAACACCTCAATTTTTGGCCAAAAGCACTAAAAAAATCAACGGTTACTTGACCAGAACATATGCAGTTAAGTATCATAGTCGGATCATATCCAAACTAAGTCTCAAACTGAGGAGCAAATGAGTGTAAAATAGAAAATCAACCAACGGAGATTACCTCTACTCATATATGCATATTATCATATGAGGACAAATGGTAAGCTGGAGTAAAGGCCACATGCAATTAGTAGTGTACACATGATATTTCCCACGTGCAATCAGTGGTGTACGCATGATATTTCATAAGCAGTGTCACAATTTGAAGAACTGAACTAATGAACAAATGACGAAGCGGTGTCTCGTGACCAAAGGCAGAGACATTCCGCTAAGGGGTTCAAAAAAGAAAAAAAAATTAAAAATTAAAAGAAATTGCGACCAATGGGAACTGAACTAGTGACCTCATAAAAGTTTTGGATTTCCTTGACCACTAAACTAAGCTTTTAGGTTGTGTCAAGGGGATTCAAAACATAATATATAGGGGTAAAAAACAAATTTTACCTTATATATAATATAATTTTTAACAATGGGGGTTCGGATGAACCTCCTTCCGCCTCTGCCCATGACACCGCATGCAACAACGTACAAATTGTTGTCGTACTCTAAATAAATGAGGTACCCAGATCACCAAAAGTACAGAGATCAAAGCAAGCGAATTGGCTAAAAGATGACAAGTATGAGCTTTCAGCAATTTCGAGTTTTAAAAAAAGATTAAAAACAACAAAATGGCGTCGCCCGGACTCGAACCGGAGACCTTCAGTGTGTTAGACTGACGTGATAACCAACTACACCACGACACCTTGTTGTGCCTTATTTCATATATTCTAATATTATTTACCACTAAATCGTAAATTACATTAAAATCAAGAGTCCTTAGCAGCTTGATTATCAAAAAAGCGAAAGCTTAGTTGTCAAAGTTAACAAACTATTAACCCTTAATCCAAATTGGCTATTTTGGAGCTGCTCCTCTTTTCTCCATTCCTCTCTCTTCTACGCTCTTTAATCACAATCTTCCCGTTAAATTTTTCCCCTAAATTTACCGGTGTCAATCCCCAATTCTTTGTCAACAAATTAGGGTTTCGGTATAGGGCGTTGAGGTTTAGGGTTTGAATTTTTTTTCTTGCCCTAATTAGTCTAGCTATATGCGTTTCAATACTGGGTTCTTGTTTTTGTGGTTAATTACTTGATTTTTGCAAATGGGGGTTCTCATTTTTTCTTTAATTTCCCTTAAAGTTGAGTTCTTTGAACGTCAATTCCGATTTGGAAGGGTTATTGATTCTTATTCAGTTGCCTGTGAAGCATTCTCTGAACCTTTTCTTTGATTTTACCGGATTTTAATCTTTTTTAGGATTTGGGTGTTTCAATTTTTTTGGGTTTTTTTTTTCGGTGGAGAGATGAATTCTTCTACACCATGGATTGACATGTCAAAATTGAAAGGTAAATTTGATGAGCCTGAGGTTGTTGAAGTGTCCCCAGACAAGCGATACATTCGGGTACATATGATTTTTTCTTTCTGGTGTCTGTATTTTTGGAAAGTTACTATTTTTAGGATTATTTGATTAAATCAACTGTTGTTGTACTTTGTTCCTTTAGTTCATCTTAGTTTAAGTTGTGTATACCGTCGTTGTAAAATATTATTACACAGGTTCTCCAAAGAATATCTGTAGGCAAGTCTCCTTAAAATGTGAGGTTTATAATCTTGAAAATAAGACAGGTTACCTGCTACAACAGTGTATATAACTTAAACTCTTGATTTAAAAGTGAGGCTTGTTAAAAATGGCTTACCCCATACCGAGGGTGAGTGTATATGCTTCTGCTTGCATTTCGGCAAAGAGCTGTTGTATCTTTTGATGCCTAGTTGAACTAAAGTGAGTGGGGCTTGCTATTGAAACAAATTGTAATGTAGGTAGGAATTTAGTTGGGTTTTCATTTATTATGATTATATTTTGCTCTTTTGCATTATCTATACATTTTGTTGAGAAATGGAGTGTGCTCGGTTATTACAGGATATTTGTTTCATTCTGTTTCGTTTATGTAATATTGCGGGTTTTGGTGGTATTGTCACCTTCTCTTTGTTTTTCTTCCTCCAGTATAATGAAATCTTGGGAAGTGGAGCATTTAAGACTGTGTATGGCTCCTAGACCCATCTCCTGTTATTTTTCTTGCACTTTAATTATGTTAAGATGTAGTTGGTCATTATACATTTTCAATAATTTAGCAGTTAATTTCACATGTTTTACGTGTAGCTATAAGGCATTTGATGAAATTGATGGAATAGAAGTTGCTTGGAATCAAATCTGCATAGATGATGCTTTGCAGTCACCAGAATATTTGGAGAGGATATATTCTGAGGTTCATTTGTTGAGAATGTTGAAGCATGAAAACATTATAAAGCTATATGCTTCATGGGTGGACGATGTGAACAAAAGTATTAATATGATCACTGAATTATTTAGTTCAGGAAGCTTAAGGCAGTGAGTCCAATGTTTCTTGCATATTTCTCCTTGTTATTAACAATGCAACCTCCAGATTTTCTTATTCATATGTTTCTATGGCTTTTAGATATCGGAGAAAGCACAAGACTGTCGACACGAGGGCCATTAAAAAATGGGCTAGACAAATTCTCCGAGGTTTACATTATCTCCATGGTCACAATCCACCAGTTATACACAGAGACTTGAAATGTGACAATATATTCATCAATGGAAACCATGGAGAAGTTAAACTTGGAGATCTTGGATTGGCAACAATCATGGAGCAGCCTACAGCTCGAAGTGTTATTGGTAGTTATTTGGGTTGGACTTGCTGCCTTTGGTTCCATCAAAATTGATATATTAACCCCTATTACCATATTTTCTTTGTGTTTTCTGTTCTTCAGGTACCCCTGAATTTATGGCACCAGAGCTATATGATGAAGAATATAATGAACTTGTCGACATATATTCTTTTGGCATGTGCATCTTGGAGCTAATCACTTGTGAATATCCGTATAATGAGTGTAGAAATCAAGCACAAGTTTACAAAAAAGTCACGTCGGTGAGCTCCACTAGTCCTAAGCTTTACAACTATTACTTTGTTCAACTCTATAATAATTGCAATGCTTAGGAACATGTTTGATTTCAGGGCATAAAACCAGCATCATTAGCGAAAGTAACAGATCCTCATGTAAAGCAATTTGTGGAGAAATGTTTGGCCCCAGTATCTGTAAGATTGAGTGCAGCTGAACTTTTGGAAGACCCATTTCTTTCATCTGAAAGCTTGAAAAAACCCCTATGTGATCCTTTGCAGCACTCAAATTATGTGCCTGAAGCACAGAGTTTGCCAAAGCCGTGTTCTTTTTCCATGGACATAGACCTTTCACAGAAGAAGTTACAAAGTGACATGTCCATAGAAAGCAAGAATGGATGTCCACAGTTTTCTAATCTGGACTTTGTGAGAAGTAATGGGAGAAATGAATTTAGATTACAAGGTGACAAGCATGATGACCAATCAATTGCCTTTTCACTGCGAATTGCTGAATTGACTGGTATGTAGTCATGCTGAAAGAATATACATGGAGTATTTGTTGGCAAATGTTTAACTCTTTTCTTTGTTTTTAACAGGTCGGATTAGGCATGTGCACTTTGTATTTTATCTTGATGTTGACACTGTGATGTCAATTGCTAGTGAGATGGCAGAGGAGCTTGCGTTGTCGAACGACGATGTAGCGACAATAGCTGAATTGATTGACGGATTCATTTCCAAACTCTCAACAAGCCAGAAATATTCTCTTGGGAGTTTCGGTGCCGTGAATAACTCATCCAATGATTCAACTTTGATTAATAGTAACCCGGTGTCTGCAAGTTTTGATCAGGACTATGAATTAAAAGGTGCTCATAACCAGTTTCATGTTCTTTCTCAGACTCCTAAAATAGAGGATCACGCCATTGGAGAACTAGGCGTTACATCTTTGAATCAAAGGGGAACATCAGATTCAGATGTTGAGTATAACAACCTTTTAAGATTGTTCGGCAATGAGTTAGAATGCATCGAGGGTCCCAAGATCCATGTTCCAAGCTACAATGAGGGTAGTATTGGTGATGTTGTAATGAGTGATTGTACCAAAAATTCAGGGATATCCTTTGATAGCTCGCGGAATCTCATATCTAATGATTTGAGCTCTAACCTCTCTTCCATCTCTCTCATCGAAGGAGCAAATGACAAGAATCAATTGCAGGATCTCAAGTTGGAACTTGATGCCATCAATATGCAGTATCAGCAATCTTGCCGCGAACTCTTGAGAATGCGAGTGGAGGCAATTGAAAATGCCAGAAAGAAGTGGACTAGTAAAAAGAATATATGTACATAGCGTGTTTCTTGCTACTAATCTTTGACCTAGCAAGAGAAGTTCCATTTTATTTTAGGGAAACTGTTCATTCTCTTTTCTTAGTTTTACCTTTTTCTTTTTGTAACTGTCCAGTGGTGTTAATGAAATGAATTGTTTGTGTTCTTGCTCTCAAGTGAGCTTCTGCAAGCTTTGGTGCTTGTTTTTGACTTATGAGTTTGTCACAGGGAATTTAGTGCCTTTTAACTTCTTGGTTACTGTGATCTTATGCTAGTACTTCTTACTTTTGAGTGTTATTTCCTCTTCTTGGAATACTAGAGATTGCATTTCAGAACTAGTAAAAAGGGCAGCCCGGTACACTAATCTCTCGCTATGCGCAATGTCCGGGAAAGGGCCGGACCACAAAGGTTTATTGTACGCATCTGCAAGAGGACCACAAAGGTTTATTGTACGCATCTGCAAGAGGCTGTTTTGACGGCTTGAACTTGTGACCTCCTATTCACCTGGCAACAACCATACCACTATGCTAAGGTTCCCCTTGGCATTTCAGAACTAGTATATCACAAAAACCAAATTCAGGTACTCTATGATGGATTTCAAAAGTAGGTTCTAGTATAGTTTTTCTTTTCTTTTTTGGGAAGCAAACAACAAGCTATTAATGAAATCGACGCTAGAACGCCCCAGATATAATGCTGAAGAAATAAAAGAATAGTAAGCAACTAGCTAATATAGCAGGAAAGGACATTAATAGCCTGTTTGGCCAAGCTTTTCAAGACAAAAGAAGTGTTTTTTTTTCTTTCCCAAAAGCACTTTCTTTTCCTAATTTGAGGTGTTTGACCAAGCTTATTTGGGTAAAAAGTACTTTTGGGAAGAAACAGAAGCAGTTTCAGAGAAGCAGAAAAAAGTAGTTTCTTTCCAAAAGCAGAAGCAGTTTTAGCTTTTCTTCTTACGTAAAATACCCTTAACAAAATATAGTATATACCAAAATAACCCTTAAACCTAATACTTAGGATATTAATTTATAAATATTTCTTCTTATTTTTAGGAAACTTTCTAATATATAGTGTCTTTAGGGGTGAATACTTTTATATTTGTTGAAAGAATTTTAATATATTTAACTTATATTAAAAGAATTAAGTACTTTTTAATTTTATTTTCATATTTTACTTAAATAAAATGATTTTTTTTAATTATTGCATGTAATAACAAAATTTTGATATTATTTATTTACTTATAATATTAATTATTAAGTAAATCTATTCATGTCCTTATTCGTAATTTGACACTTAAAAGCACTTTCTAAAAAGCTTGGCCAAACACAAATTATTTCTCAAAAGTGTTTTTCAGACTTATTAGCCAAACACAAACTCATTCTTTCCAAAAGTACTTTTTTCAAAAGCACTTCTCAAAATAAGCTGATTTCTCCAGCGTGGCCAAACAGGCTATAAATCATGGAGATGCTGAGACCTGAAATGGTAATAAAAGCTTTCTTAGGCAGTTCTAAAACAACTCCATAGCTATATCTTTATACTTTGAAGATCTATAGCAGTTCTTTACTTTCTATTTTCTCTATGTTTTAGCTTCAAGATACTAGGAGAAAATTGAAGGGGAGCCTTGGCGTAACTAGTAAAGTTGCTGCCATTTGACCAGAAGGTCACGGCCTTACGAGTTCAAGCCGTGGAAATAGCCTCTTGCATAAATGCATGGTAAGACTGCATACTATAGACCCTTGTGGTCCGGTCCTTCCCTGGACCCCGCGCATAGCGGAAGCTTAGTAGTAAAGTTGCTGCCATTTGACCAGGAGGTCACGGCCTCACGAGTTCAAGCCGTGGAAACAGCCTCTTGCGTAAATGCATGATAAGGCTGCATATTATAAACCCTTGTGGTCCAGCCCTTCCCTGGACCCCGCGCATAGCGGAAGCTTAGTGCACCGACCTGCCTTTTTTATACTAGGAGAAAACTCTTATGTACTTTTGCTTGCAGGACAACTAACCATGTTCACATTGAGATTTCTCATAACAAAATACAGTTAGGATCGCGCAAAAGCAGGCCCTGGACCTTTTGCAATAACTCAGACATCATTTGCTCAAAGAAACCAAGTAAAGAAGATATGATATTCACAAGATTTTATTTTCAAGATAGAATATTAACAGGATTTTTACAGCATCTCAGATATTTCTTCCAATCGCTCAACACACACAAGAAATAGAAGCTGAGATCAGGCTATTGGCAACAATGAATTGACCTTTTGAATTGCTCAGAGTTGATATAACAAAATGAGCATGAATCATCCACACACTTTGACATAGCATGACGGACTACCAATTTTCTTTGACAATCTTCGACTTCTCAAGTATGAATTTGCCTTCCTTGTATTTCTGTGTCTCCTCATAAGCTCGTTCGTATTTCCAACCCAGCACCTCGCGACAGTCAGAGCAATAGACATCAGCAACTGTATGGAGACCAGTCATGAGTTGTCTATCCTCTTTGAGCCCAACAACAACGTTCATCGCGTGAGAGAACAAAAATGCTCGACCATTTCCTCCCTATATGTCAAATTCGACAAGAATATATTGGTGGAAACACTTAAGAAAAATAAATGTAACTCAACTTTTGAAACACCGTATAGCCTCACTTATTCTGTGGCACAGGTGACAACATTCTTTTTTCTTAATCAGGTAAAACACAAAGGGCAGTCCGGTACACTAAGCTTTCGCTATGCGCGAGGCTCGGGAAGGGACGGACCACAATGGTCTATTGTACGCATCCTTACCCTGCATTTATGCAAGAGGCTACTTCCACGGCTCGAACCCGTGACCTCTTGGTCAAATGACAGTAACTTTGCCAGTTACGCCAAGACGTCCCTTCATATTAGACAGGCGACAACATTCTTATATGCAACAAGATCATCGATTTTATCAGAAATATACAAAAGGAATTAGGCGAGACAACAGAATTTTATGTTCTATTACTATCTGTTTGAACATAGTATACACTAGTGGACATTGGCTAATAAGCTGACTGTAGCAAAGAACAAAGACCATAAAACAATTTAATCTGTTTGAACAATAGTACTCCCTCCGTTTCAAATTAGATGAGTTACTTTCCTTTTTAATCTGTTCCAAAATAAATGACACATTTCTATATTTGGAAATAATTTAACTTTAAACTCTTTATTTTACCCATTTTACCTTAATGAAAAGCTTTTATAACCACACAAATGTCACAACCCCACAAAATTTTTACTCCCTGAACTTTTAATACCAAAAGTTTCAAAAGTCTTTTTTTTCTTCCTTAGACTCCGCGACGAGTCAAATTACCCCATCTAACTTGAAACGAAGGGAGTATATGATTAGAATAGGTGTAGCATTCAAAACCCCAAATCGTAATCCCAAGCAGGAGTGACAAACGGGCTGGTCAGGTCACATATGGTTCGAGTCGAAAATGTCTAATAAAAAACGGATAAATTATTTGACCCAACCATATTTAATACGGATAAAAAACGGGTTAACCGGCAGATAATATGATTTCTTGAATATAATCACTTTTGGGAGAATTCATAGTGCCCAAGCTTGAGGATCCCCAATTTAAGGCTTTACAAATAGTAAAATTAAACTCACTCGTTACCCATTAGTTAACCATTTTCTAAATGGATAATATGGTTCATATCAATATTTGATCCGTTTTTAAACGATTTTTTAGTGTATAATATGGCTGATTAATTGTTTTCTTTTAACCAGTTTGCCACCACTAATCCCAAGGAAAAAGAAAAAAGAGCAAAAGTTACTCACTTGAAATGTTTTAGAAATAACATCATCGTGTACCGCAACTTCATTCCTACAATTGCAGCAACTATATAATCTTGGACCAATCACTCCAGCCATTGATGATCAGGATTAAAACAGAGAGTCCAAGTAGCTATATCCTGAGATCATAGTAAAACAGCATTTTCATCTACCAAAACTGAACTATCACACAATTATAAAGTAAAAAAAATGAATAAAGACTCTTTGCAGATATGTTAAGGGGAAAAGCTTGTACCTTTATTGCCAAGAGCCTAAAATCTTTACAATAGTTTCCTCAATTGGGTTGTTTTCTTTTTCTTTTTAATAACCGTGAAGTGCGGACCAGCTCAGTGCATCTCGATACCTACTACCTTTCACTAGCACACGGGGAGGGGAGGGTCTGTCGGGGTATTGTGGGTTTTGATCAGAGAAGATGACAAGTTGAAGTGGAGTTAATCAGGATAAAGTGACATCATTTTTTTGGTATATTATGCTACGGTTTCCTTTTTCTGAATGTAGATGTTACACGTATCGGCCAAAAATTAGTACTCCATCCGATTCAATTCATGTGAACTTGTTTGATTGGGCACGAAGTTTAAGAAAAAATAAAGACTTTTGGAATTTGTGGTCCTAAACAGGTTAAAAAGGGGTCCGGAATATATTTTAAATGGACCAAAAAAGAAATAGGTTCACGTAAACTGGAAGTAGTACATTGCGTAACAAAAGGCCAAAAATGATACATTGCGTAGGCCATATAAGAGAAATTACGACAAGGATGAAGCTCTGTTCAAGATCTCCGTAGGGTCCAAATCTTATTCAATATTTTTTGTTTTGTTTTTTGGTGCGAATCGTATTCAAAATTTAATTGTCAATAAATAAGCGCAGAATAATGTTACCTCACATAACTTGCTATGGTCCAAATCGTGTCTAACTTTATAAGTTAACAAGTGGAGCTGTTATATTGATGAACATTTAGTATTAAAATTCTCTTTTATAATTGATTGATTATGTGTCTCTCCATATTTTAAATAGAAAGGAAATATGCAATCTATTTTTTGGTTCACGTACTAACTATACTAAGATTATAATACATAAATTATTTATATATTAGTAAATTATATTATTGAGACAATTGCGGTTCTTATTTCACCTTCTGTTCCACAATATAATATCCAAATTACTACATGCAAGGTTTAATGAGGCTAGTTAGACGATATAGTGAATTATGCGACTGATTATTTGTTACTGTAATTATTTTTGTGGATCGTACCATAAAGGTAGAAACATGTAAAAATTGTACGGGGCGCCTTATTTGGTCGCCCCCATTTAACCTATACCAACTTTTTAAAAAAGTTTTAACTTGTACCCACTATTTAAACAACTTCAGACCTCTTTCTCATCCTCCTTCTCTTCCTTCATTTTCTGAATGCTAAAATTGAGATATTGTTATGCGTTCTGGCGTGATGATTCAT